GACTTGATACAATATAAATTTTTGTTTATTGATTTTTTTTAATAAATCCGATCAATCCATTTGTTGATGCATCATGACTTGTAATTGCCTCCTTAGTTTCCAATTCCGGTTCTATTGCCTTTGCCAACTGTTTTCCTAGTTCGACACTGTTAAAAAAATTCATAAATATGCAATGAGATTTAAACGTATAAAAGGAGACGTTGCCTATTAAAAATCTGTTCTGTTTCTTGGAACTTTAAAGTAGTAGTTAAAATAATTTGTAAAAGAGAAAAAGCATAGCATGTATTTTAATATGAATATTATTAATTATCAATTTACGGTTTATCAACCCTTGCAGTATCGGCACTTGAGCGTTCACACGAAGCCTTATGATTGGGGTCTTATGTATACAAATATTTTGAGCTAAAATTTTATTGTTATTATCATCATGATCATTATTATTATTACCTTATTATACTTGTATCGAGTGTCAAACGGTCAAGTCAGATCTTGAGCTCTGGGTCCGAAAAAAACCCAGACGTGGTACGGCGAGGGTTAATATACATATAGTATCGAGATAAAAATATTCTGTTCTGTTTCATAGTCTAATATTTAATCTTTATAATTAGCAATAATACTCTAATATAAATTGATGAAGACAGTCAAGTACTAAAAATAAAATTGTTACCTACCCCCATTGGTCAAATGAATTGATATCCCATACAATGCCTTGTACAAAGATCTTGTGTTCATACATTGCTTAAAAAATAGAATTTGTATATTACAATTAAACACATGTAAATCTCGAATAATATTTGGTTTGTACTGATATATAATACGAATCTTAAAGTACTATACGAGATCTATAAATATGTATGTTGCAATTACCAATTAAAGCTCCAAGAGTAAAAGGTGTCACTTTCTGCACAAGAATGCTGTTAGTTGGTCTGTTTCCTTCGAACATCTTGTGTGGCAATATCAAATTTACTTGTTCAGGACTCATTCCTGCTTTTTCTAATTCAGTTTTTGCTTCATTTTCAGTTTTACCTTTCATTAATGCTTCAGTTTGTGCAAGGAAGTTGGCAAGAAGTATTTTATGATGTTTTGTTCCTTGTACCTAAAATTATCTTTTTAGTTCGTGATTTCTTTATTGTAGGAAATATATAAAGTATGGTCATTAATTGTATTTATACCATATTGTGTGACTGTACTGGAATTATAAAATCAGCTGGTACGATTCGTGTACCTTGATGTAATAATTGGTAAAAGGCATGTTGTCCGTTCGTACCAGGTTCTCCCCATACAATCGGGCCTAAAATATTCAATTTTTATACTTTAATAGAATAAAAACTTTAAATACAATAATAATAACATAATACAGGATCTAATGATACATTTCAAATGCAAAGTACCTACCAGTATTGTAATTTACAACTTTTCCTGCACTGGTAACATATTTTCCATTACTCTCCATATCCCCTTGTTGGAAATAAGCAGCAAACCTATGTAAGTACTGGTCATATGGTAATAATGCATGTGTTTCAACTTTGTAGAAGTTGTGGTACCAAATACCAAGTAAAGCTAATATAACTGGTGCCTATACAATAACAAATTTTAACTTGTACTAAATATATTTACTTCAATTGTAAAGTAATAATTAAATAGCTCTTACATTCTTTTCTAATGGAGCACTGCAAAAATGTTGATCCATAAAGTGCGCTCCACTGAGCAACTTTTCAAAATTTTCGAAACCAATGGATAAACAAATTGATAAACCAATAGCTGACCACAAAGAATAACGACCACCAACCCAGTCCCAAAATCCAAACATATTTTTCTCATCGATACCAAATTCTTTGACCTTTTGGTTGTTAGTAGATAATGCTACAAAATGACATGCTACTGCAGCATTCTAACAAATTTAAAACAAATGATAGTTAGGTATAGTATCATTACAATTAGAAATTAGTATTTTTATTTCCTACTTACATCTTTTAAGGCCTCTAAAAGCCATATCTTTGCAGAAGTAGCATTTGTAATTGTTTCTTGAGTAGTAAATGTTTTTGATGCTATTATAAAGAGAGTTGTCTCAGGATTCAGTTTTTTAAGAGTTTCAGCTATATGAGTTCCATCAATATTACTAACAAAATGCACTCTTGGTCCAATATGAAATGGTTTCAGTGCTTCTGTGACCATCAAAGGACCCTATATATGTATATTTAAATCAACAAAGAAAATTACAAAAATATTTCTATTTCAATAACATTATATATATATATATACTCACCAAATCTGAACCACCTATGCCAATATTAACAACATCTTCTATTGGTTTACCAGTGAAGCCTTTCCACTTTTTTGAAAGAACCTATGTAATGGATTAATAATTATTTCATTGTTAAGAAATACTATGAGATGTATTTATGATTGGAAAATTACCTCATCAGTAAATTGTTTCATATGTTGCAAAACAGAATTTACTTCTGGCGTTACATCCTTACCATCAACTAATATTGGTTTATTTGATCTGTTACGTAATGCAACATGCAAAACAGCTCTATTCTCAGTAAAATTGATCTTTTCTCCCTTAAACATAGCATCTCTGGCACTTTCCACCTCACGTTCTCGTATCTAAAAATTATTTAGAGTAATTTATCTATCATTTTTATATTTCCATGATAAAAAGTTACTTACCAGATCCAACAACAGTTTAAATGCTTCTTCAGTGAGACGGTTCTTGGAGTAATCAAGTAAAATTGGTCCATCATTTGGAGTAGGAATTTCTAAACTAATTTATAATTTACTAATTTATAATCTCTCGCTTAATAATCTTAGAAAGATTTGAAGAGAATTTGATTGAACTTTCGTTTAACGGTGTTTTTAACATGTTAATTGTTCAAGATTTTAAAAATTGGGAAAAAGAAAATAATGTATGAAATGGGGAACTAATCATTATTTTTAATATTTCATGCAAAGAGGTACAAATAATTAGTTACCGATGAGTAACTTTCTAAAGGTCAAATCAAGGTCACCCGGCAAGGACTGACGAAAACTTACCTAAACTTTTCAAAGCGTTTAGGATCTTGTTGGAAGAGATCGTGTATTTTAATCTTCGATTGATTACTATCGAAATATTCTTGCAATTTTGTCCATGCTGCCTGTGTTGTCAAGTCTGCTTTCGGCTTCATTGTAAATTTAATACAAAAACTAGATACGAGCACCCCGAGTATGCAATGATTCGCGAAAGCAGGATTTAGTAAAGATGCCGACTTCTCCACAAAATCATTGATAACTGACAATCATGTTTGGTATTCACTTGAAAAATATAGTTGCACACAGTTTCTACGTGCTCTGTCTTATGAGAGCCGCTTCATAAAATGACATTCCTATCTATGCTAAAATATTTTATGCTTCAGTTAGAACAGTTATCATTTACGAACAAAAAAATGGATTGAAATTGTATATGCAAATTTATACCAACACGCATTCTGCACAAATTATATTAAGAAATGAGTAGACGATAAAAAGTATAAAGAATGTGCAAATACAAAGACT